CTATCAATCAGGAGTTATTGCTGTCTTCCAGTATACTTATAAATAAATATCTATCTTGTTTCGATCTTGAAACCTTCATCTAATTTCGTTCAGCTTTACTTCGTGGTGATTTTTATCTTTAAATATCGAGCTTTTGGCCTTGCTTTGAACAAATCTGTATGAGGCGAGTTCACGTATACGAATTGTCAATATTCGATAACTCGCTTAAACGCAAAGATTTTAAATCTTGACAGAAAACTACCAAACTGAAAACTTTTGTAGTGTGCTACTGTGGAGTAAGCAAGTGAATTATTTGAAATCAAACCCCGACGAAAATTTTTGTAACTTTACCGCTGAATATTGAGGATGAACTAAATTTGAATCATACCGCATTAAATTCATAAGATATTTTGGAAATGTAATTAACAGATCCATTCAAATATTATATATATAGGTATTTGTAACCATTGTACGTATTATTAATGTATTGATATCACGTTATATGAAACGACTACTAGTTGATGGATTAGTTATTTATTTTAATCTTGCCCAAAACCTTAAATTTTAGCTGGAGCCTTCGATTTAATTACATGTATTTTTTTATTTTATGTATATTGCAAATTAGCAGCAACCCCTGAAGCAAAACCCATTATGCAATAAGTCTTATCGCGACACATAGGGTAAATACTACTACACAGTCCCCCCAAGCGTCCCAAAACATATGCTACAGACGGATATCCTTGTAAGCGGTCAATAGCTTTGTATTCACGGGTTACAGAACGCACACTGAAAATCCGCGCATAATGTGTTCATTATTCGTCAATTGCCGTCTTAGCGATTGTTCTACGTAGAATTCCGTCCGTTCATTATCCGACCTTTTTTTAGTTACCTCTCAAAATGGACGAGCATGAAAATGTATCTCGTTCGATCGAGTGACTGGCTGTATCGACGAAACCACGTATTTGAGTTATCAATTTGTTTGTAACAGAGTTCCATATAAATATATTTAATGATTGGTATTTTTTGTCAAATTTTAACATGAATTTCAAAATCGAATCCAATAAAATGGGACACCATGTAAAACCCAATATCCACGATTGTATTCATATAATAATATCGCAAATTAAGGCCAATCACAAACATGAAATATGGCAATGTTATCACGGTTGAGAATGATTACCTAAACAACGATAGAAAAATATTCTAGCGTATACGGTAAGCGATAAGTGTGATGATTCCGCACGATGTAGTCATATTACGCCTAGCCTCAATGCTTGCTCAAAACTATCCAAGCGAGACTCTTGAATTAGAAGCCATGTCCTACGGGTAGTCTGACGTCATTGCAAATATATAGCATGCCTGTACGTAAAAAAAAACTCAATAATCTGATACTCGTTTTCGAGTAGAAATTTTGCAACTTCCGAAACCATTTCTTGAAATATAACCAGGTTAAATTGCTTCAGACCATGCTAACTGATTACACATATGAAGAGCTCTTTTCAAACATTGCGAGATTATAATAAACATCTCAGATATGGCCTAACAGAACATGATCCCGTGATAACCATTTTTGATTGAGAATTAATTTAGCAAAGCCGACTAAATACAAAGAATAAAATATTGATCGACTTGGCTAAGGCTTTGAGGAACAAAGTGACAAAGATGCACTTTGCATTTCCCTTCAGAAGATAGTTAGCTACTTAGTGAGTATTGAGAAATATACAGAACTATAAAAATGTTCACATTTACAGGTTATATGCTTCTTTTCAAATATTATCCGATCCGATTCGCCTGATCTAATCTTTTCTGACTTTGATCAAATTATACAAGTTTTCGGTGACCGAACTCCATTGACCTCGCCACCATTTGAGTTACTTTTATGATCTTCTCCTCTTTTATCATGACTTTATTTTAACCGCTAACAAGTTTTCAAAAAATAAACGTTCCAAATACCAACGATTGTAACTAACATACGGCTGTTTATTGCGTAGTGATTCATGAGCTCTCGTATATAACATAGTAAAAGTACATTATATACTACAAAATCAACGTTTCGTGAAATCCATGTACTTCTAAAAAAATGCAATCCAATACGACTCTGATTCCCCATCTTATATTCTAAATTGATCCAGTTATCGTAATTTGGGCAATGAAGAGTCGCCCTAAAGCTGTAAACATCACTCTCATGTAACAAACACCCTTAGCTATTCAAAATAAATAGTCTCATGTCCCAATTGAAAGGCTAAATAGTTTCGAAAATCCCTAGCTTTATTCTTGGATATTTGTTAATATAGCAAATTGTTCTTAAATTGTTTCAGTGTTGGTGGAGAAATGGTAGCAGATGACACCATTACTCCTTAAAAAACGTTACCTATTTTTGACAAAGGGTAATACCAGTGAGAAGGGGATCAACATCATTGAGAATTTGCGAGTTCATCAGCCAAATGCTGAATAATGTAAGAATTTCAACTACTGAAAAAAAAATATTGAACTTATCGATGCAATGATGACCGACGCGATTGCTTTCACACAGGGATGAAATATAATTTTACACAATTTATTTGCGTCGTGCGGATTAACGCCAAGGGCACGCAAAATGATGAAGGTTCGAACCGAACAAAGAAAAAGTTTTTTCTGTCAACGTCGATATAAGCATGACAATCCATTGTGTATATTCCAATGGCAAGATCATATAATTTTTTTTTATCAATTTAACCAAGACACGGTACACGATTCATTTCCTATGCATACCTATGTTCACATTTTTTGTCGCGACTCGCTACCAGCGATGATCGATAAAAAGTGATTGATTCGTTTCGGCTGAATAATCATCGGCTAACATTACGGTGAAACAGAGAACGTTCGCGAGTTGTGTCTCCAGTGTTTCGGAGACATAGTAGAAGTGTCGTTGCTAGTTTGAAGATGAATCATGTAATAAATTAGCTTTGTATTACTTAGCCACACATTAGATTTAAAGTTTCACTAAAGACTAACCATTTGCTCAATATTATTGATGTGACGCGTTTAAAGTCTCGTATGATTCCCTCTTGTTAATGTTTGCTGGCAAAAGCCTCATTTTCGAGAAAGTCGAGGTCGGATACGTTAGCAAAACTGTTTTTGAAATGACAAAACGCTCGTAACTAAAGACTCAGTTCGGGACATGAATCACAGCCCTCATAATAATTGATTAAACACAGGGCTCAAAATAAACAACATAAATAAAATCGGACACGGAAACCCTGCCGAGTTTTTCAATTTCGGGCAACACTACTGATATTTATTGAAATATATTTAGTAAACTTATCCACGTTACCCCAATTTAATTACTTCAAATGGTATTCTGACTAAAATTAAATCGTTAAACTATCTTTTTACCCAGTCGAGAATCCCGCTGCAGTGTCGATCTTTTTTTTATCAAGAAAAATATTCTTTGTCTTCTATGTAGTTTCTTAACATAGATAAATATACCATGAATCTATTTTTATCAAGGCATAAAATTAATATTAACAAAGATACTTTACATTCGGTGTGAATTCCAGCCTGTATCCATTTTCTGTATGAAACAACCGCGTGATGTTATCATTGAAAAGAAACCAGCTGCGAACGAGTACGCGATAGATTTATATTTCGGTCAAATACCGCTGGTGTTCAAACACAAAGAGAAGTCTGGCCAAGACGGGCGTCGGTTTACCTTTGGATAATCTCACGTGCCTTCTCGCCGAAGTAGCCACCCCTAAAGTGTATGTATGGTTTGGGAGCAGAAACACTCAGAACCCGTAAATTCTACACAACTTATTGGTCACATCACAACTCACAATCTCGATTAATATATTACACGCAGTTACGTTACAATTTAACGTAACAACTACGGCAAAACAAAATGCCACAACTAGCAACAGTATTTGACGGAGTTCAGCAAGTTATTACAAGATAATAAAATGTGAATAAATAATAACACATCGTGAACATAATTTAACTTACTCAAATTAAATTAACAAACGCTGATGATTGAAATATTGTCCTTGCCAGGGGCGTGGGCCAGGAATAGCCGAGAAAGTGTGGGTTTTCAAGAGTTTTGAAAAGCGTTTCAAAATGCTATGTATGATACAGAAAAATGGCGTTTCTATTTTTACATTTCAAAATAAAATAACGGGGGGGTTTCGCCCCTGGTCCTTGCACCCTTTAGGCAAAACTCATTCTTCATTTGTTACCAATACAGTAATTTTCAATAATATTTTAGCAAATTATCGCATGACAAATACGTGAATAAATAACAACATCTTTAACAAAAGTCTCCTCTCCTAATAGTTCAATTTATATTATCAAAATTTTACATCGTGATTGAAATATGCGCATTTCTTGTCAAACCCCATTTTTACTGTCTTACCCACAAAACACAATTTACATGTAATTTAAATATTATTACCAGAGAAATGAGTGAATAGATAACATATCTTGAACTCAAGTCTACCCGCACAATATAACAACAAATTCACATTATCGAAATTCCATACTCATGTATCATTTAGTCAACCACCAATTTATCAATACACACAAACACTCTCAATGAAATTCATATTATTTATGTTTTGATATCAAAGGTGTCACTGAACTGAGAATTGAATTTAAATGCGTTTTTTGGCACTTTCAATGGTCTTTGATCGCATATCTCATAGTGTCAATAACTACCTTTTTAACATACTTTATTGTTCACTTCAAAATCCCTTGTGATATTGGAAAGAATAAAATATGCCATTCAGCGTTTCGGAACGGATAATTTAGGTTAATTAGGCTTCAATTTCAGCCAAATAAAGTGTGAAAATAGCTGATAAAAGACAAAATGAGCCGCAAATGTGATTGTACATGGAATTCAGTTGTGCCTTGTTCAGTTGACTTTGTATGTATTGGAAGTGTCTAATAATATGCCTACCTAAGACTGTGCGGAGACTTTAAGTCCAGCTGTTTCAATTTTCCGGTAACAAAATAGTACACAAAATAGCAATGTACCAATAAAAACTCACATTCTATTGTAGTTCTTCTCTTCTACTGAACTAGGATAGGATTTCATTTCCTCTCTTCCGGAACTCCCCGCTTCATGTCTAGAATTTATGTTGCGGGCTTGTATGTCCATGACTGGGTCAAATTTTGGACGGTAAGAGACAAATGTATTGCTTTCGTCTGGTGGTATAAGATGAGAAGAATAGTCCAAACTACTGCTTCCGGGGTATAAATATGTAGGCAAGTTCATGGGCGCTCGCCCATATTCATCGTGCGGTATGGGCGGAGTACTGGACATATCTTTTCTTTGTCACAATTTGTCGTTGGCGATTGTACCAGTGAGCCAAAATTTTTAACATTAGAGAATTCTTTGTCAATACGTTTACGTATTATCCATCTCATGTGAGATGAGCTGTAAATAAGGGCTATAAAATTAACAATCATTCTTTTACATTTGCCCATGAAATAAAAAGTAAAAAACCCTTCAATCGGTCGATTGACGGCCTCTTTGTATAGGAATGGTTTAATAACGCTACTGCGGCTCGAGTTATGAAAAAAGAAGGCTAAATCGCTAAAACGAATTCGGCTTTGCAATTGATAACAGAAAGCAGTGGTTTTTCGAAACTTATTTGGATTTGGCTTAACTTCTGGCTTTGGATTTTGGATGTTAACTTCTGTCAAATCATAGTGCGTAAATTATGATCTATAAATGGATGAAAATTAAATTTTTCCCCGAACTCATTCATTTTGTGTGGATATATTGCAATTCTAAATTCGTTCGACTAGTAGTTTCGAGACTGGTGTTTTTCTCTCCGCAAGACAATATAGCGTACATTACACAGTAGGAAGCCCGGCTTACGTACGTATTTATGCCGCCGTACATTGTTTTTTGAAGCCGGTTTATACTATTCACATTTGCGCAGGGAATGTCAAATAACAGTAATTAGCACAACATCATTTGAATTCTGTGACGGTTCCATTACAATGATTTGTATTGAGTTTATTAACATTGTCAACCGTTATCGCACCAGTGGTTAAAAGACAGTCATTACTTTATTTTTCATTTGGAATCAATTATTGGTAAGACATCGTTTTCTGTATAATATATTTCAACACCTTCTAACTATAGCAAAGCTTCGGCTTGCAGTTGCATGCTTCAAATTACGGCCACATAACATTTTCCATTTGGGTGAATTTGAACTCAAGTATCTCTGTTTTCGCTAGGTTCTTTTATCTCATCTGAACAAACAATATAACGTACAAAATTTAACTAACGTCTGGGCCTACAAGCAGAGACCGACACATTGACATTTGTTGTCTCATACTAAAAATAATATTCGCAGCAATATACTCTTGCGTCCATAGTTCAGGTTTAGAAAAGATTTTGACTGATTAGACAAACATTTCGGCGTCTATCCGTTGTTCTCGTTTTAACATTGACCACAGTCAAGAACGATATTGAGGGCAGTTGCCGTAGAGTGGAGAGGGTACGCAACGCCACGCATATCGATACATTTATTTCGCACGTTCAAATAGTTACATTTCTAGATCAAAACTAGAAAATCCAAAAATAGACACGGACGATTATTTATCGAATTATGAAACATATTGCTTGCTATCCTGCTAATTAACATATCCACGGACCTCGATTGGCACGAACTATATTAATAACAAAGGTCTTTCAGGCGAGACATGGCCACTTGTTTCTTTCCCTCAAGGCAACAAAACAGCTAATCGAGAATATTGATTGATACTCTCTCGCGCTTTCCGCCGCGCGATTTACCACAAAGGTTACAGAATTATCATGCGTCCGTACGAATATAGGTAATAAATACGATACCATAAGACATCTTGTGAGTAAATATGTAAGAAATGTTGTCTTTAGACCCCATTGTTATTTTGATGCTCGGTCAAGAACCGAACCTGTAACAAGTAGGGGAGCGTTTTTTATCTGGAAAGACATGTGAGATACGACATAAAGACATTCTAATCAAAAACTACAAAAATACCCATCTCACAACAGTTGTGTTCTTTCTATATTTTATCGGAGCATACACAACCGTCTCTAATTTGGTGAAATTCGTTATAAAAATGCTTTTTTATGAAAGGTTCTCTTTTCGTACCATAAACAGGGCTCTGTATGAGCAATTCATCATGTGACGAAGTTCGAGCAACGTCATGTGCAGTCAGACTAACAGATAGGGGTGTATCCATACATTAATCAAGTCTAGAAACAAAGATCGTTAACTTGTGACAGTGATACAGTCTGAACAACGCTCCAATGTCCTGTGCCTTACTCGAATATACGCTGTTTTTTTATTTCTACAAAATTTAAAATTCGTATCGAAAACTAGTGATAACGTTTAGATACAGTTCAAAAGCTGGCAACATAGTCGACTATAAAATCTGGTAGCTAACGTGCAGACCCTACACGACAATTTTTCACTGTGACATTAGGGATAACCACGTTTGATAACTTGGCGACCTGAATACAGGAAAATAAAGAAGGGCAAAATTTGTGCAACGTGTTCCTGATTTTTCTGTATGACAAAAACATATTCAATCAATTGCACTAACGGGCATACAACATTACGACAGTAAATAATATTTTACAGGTACATATAGTATAAGGTTGTAATTGTAACATGATATTTTTTCTCCCATCAACGCGACTTTTCTTTGCATAAAAAGCCATGCTACCCAAAAGTCACACAATTGAAATAAATTACCATGCCGTACAGGCAAAAATAACGAGCATTCGCAACGTGAGCTCGTAGCATTGTCAACCGCTATGTGAAACTTAACTGGACGTTATCAGGTAGACAGTTACGTACTCACTTTAGGATCAGAATTAAGGGGCTGAAAAACTATTATTGTGCGCCTAAACTTTCCCACAAAACACCAAAGCCACATCTTCACGCTAATATTATTTGACTCGTTGAGCCACTGAGACTTAAATACCGCCGAAAGCTTTCATAACTTGCGTGAAACAAGATCATAGCTAACAAAACGGACAGAAAGGAATACGCAAACAATATCACGACGAATGTAGAAGTCGATATTAAACGTCAGCAAAAAGTCATACCGCAACACATTGCATTGATTATGACACGATGCGCTAACAATATTTAGCATCCTTTTCCCTTCCTTTGGCTACGTAACCGAAGTACCGACGCTTCGCCAGTTGCTTGATTTTACAAATAACAAAGTACCCTTTCTCAAAGTATATGTCGACGGCTACGATAGTTTCACATGTGCCTGTCAGCGCATTGTTCAAACTTTATTTTCCAGTCACAAAAATTAGTAATAAAACCAAATTTTGCGAGTTCATCTACAACCAATTAGCGCATGATAGTAAACAGTACAAATTCTCAATCTTCATTCTGGCGCTCAGGTGGACCAAACATATCATGACTTCTGCTGTTTAAACTCGGCCGAAACAAAATATAGGCCTGCACTTGTTTCCCGGACAGAGTGCGTCCAATCCATGTAAATATGCGACAAAGTGCCAACCGCATTCGTAATTTATTTGACGAAGACACATATCGCCCCTGATCCGAACCGAGACAAAAACCGCACGCCTTTGCAGTTTATAATCGAAGCAATTTACGACAACTCGGGAGCATTCGAACATTTACGTCTGGTAGAAAGTAAATTTATAAGTAGCTACTTTTTAACGGCAATCAATTCCTTTTCTAATTAAATCCGTAATTAGCACACTTGACTGTAAAAAATCTAACATAAATAAACTCATTTGCCGTAGTATTTTCGGCAAATATCGCGAGGTCGAACCTCACAATGTTCTTTAAAAATTTTAATACGGAGGCGACCATCGAGTCTGTTTTTAGTTTTGAGAGACTAGTGTTCGATGACGAATACGTCATGCAGCGAGAAGCTTGAGCATCGAGAGGCAGGCGTGTGCGTTCGTATTAAACGACAAACAGTGCATGACGAATGTGAAAGAATGAACAGAATAGCGCCGGCGGTGGGACCATATGAGCGTTTGTGCGCTATCAGAGAGAATAGAAGAAAATAAAATTACTCGCAAATAGTGAGCCGGAGGAATGAGCGAATGAGCAGGTGTGATAGAAATTCAGGGCATTTGCATAGGCGATGCTTACGCGTTTCTCAATGTTTGGGGAAGCGTTGATTTTCGATGCTGAGCGTGTGCGCTCTTGAACTTATGTCATTTAAAATCCCTGGTATGAATTAGAGAGAGGACCAACTTTAATAAAAGCATATACGCGGGGTAGCGATTTCACAGCTAATTCGATTCGACAGATAGTCAAAAGCGCGAAGGTGATGGATGCACTGTCCTGCATTACAAACCATTTCAGTCCTAGTAGATATGGTAGCGCATTACACAAAAGCTTTCGTCGAGTAATGTGCAAGAAACAAACGTAAAAATATGACGTCGCAATAATCGTGCGGTAACCCTGCAAAATGATTTATTTATACATAAGTTGGGATTGTCATCTTTCTAAGAGCAGAATCCCGCACAATTTTTGATAAAAAACGACGACCAAATTTTGCGCTTTAAGTAGACAACGCCAAATTTGGGAGATGTGACAATATCGAAACACGCAATGAAATAAGACAAGGTATATCATTTGGACTGAAAGCTATGTCAACATGACACAGATAGATCGACTCTTTAAACAGTCTTATATTTCTTTGATTCATTTGCAGGATTGAACGTTGTGAAATTTCAAGTACAAAAAATCTAGAAAATGCAAGTTATCAGTTAGAGCAAAACAGAGCTACTGAGCGATGTCAAACCAGAGCCATTACATCTCTGGTCTAACATAGACTCCTTCTCGATGGAACCATTATACACGTCTTTTGATTGTGTATTAATTTATTGAACACGAAACGTACATATGGATCGTTTTGTTATTATGTTGTTGTTAGGATTCTTTTATCATTCTTGTTCTTACGAAAAAATCGCATTTCTCATTACCTACTGGACCAATTGTTTTTAGTTTTTCAGAGGTTAAAGATTGTATTCTTGCTAGAAGGCTTTTATTTTTGTTTATTTCAAAATCTGTGTGGCTTCGACGGGGATTCGTTTTTTTTCTGTGAGATGAGGTCATGGAAATTAAAAATTGCGCTCCTTGTCAGGCTACTGTGATAGATTGCATACCCGCGCCATTTCGTGTCCATATATTTGAGCATCGCTCTCTTGTTGGACACGAACTGGACCCATGAATCGTTTTGGTATTAATATTCTGTTGTTGTTCTTCTTATCGTCATGAAAAAATTCTTTTCTTTTTATCTACTGGACCAATTGCCTTGAAATTTTCAGTGGTTAAAGATTGTATTTCGCTAGAAGGCTATTTCCCTGTGTCCATATATTTTACCATAGCTTTCTTGGTATTATGTTGTTGTACTTCTTTATCGTCTTGGGAGACA